GCCTAATTGGTGGAATCACAATTGTTAGCAGAAGACTCAAGCAACGTAGAAGCATCAGGGGACACACACCGTTTTGTTTCGTCTTTGACATAAAGAATCAAACCACTTTGATTCTTTTCTCTGAGAACAATCGCGTTCTCTTTATTGAATCCGTATGTCGAAACTGATTGAACGCAAGGTTTGCTCTTGTCGACAGTTTCTACTCGACTTGGCTTCGGATAATAGAAATCGGTTGGGAAAAAATTGAACTGAAGAAGACCCGACATCGAACTTTTTGATATCAAATCCAAACTCAAAGCAAATTTGTGAATAGAACTAGTTTTTTTTTTTTTTATGTCGTCTGTTTATGTATGTTTCTTTGATATTCTCCAATGTGTATTGCTTTATATATAGAGAGATTATGGAAAAAGTGTTCGTAGGGGTTTTGGGACATGTGAGTTTCTTGGGCTCTACGACTTTTACTTGAAGAACAAGACTAGATTGGTTAGGCTTTGAAAGGTCTTTAATTTGTTTTCGACGCTTTGACTTCAAAACTCATCTAGAAACAACTAGAAGAACAATGTTTTCCATTTTTGTTTTGTTTACGGAAACATTCCATATCAATACTATACTACACGGATATCAATTCTGTATTTGTGCATTGATTTTAGACAACTAAAATTATATACCACACGAACATAGAATATAACCGGCATTTCCTTTTTACGTGAACCGGTTTTTGGGGTACCACCCAAAAAAGGTGAAAAATACTGAAAATTAGCATAACTCAATTCTTCCTTAAGTTGTAACTTGTACACTAATGTGATTCTATACTCAAAATTTTGAATATCGTTGATTAAATTAAAAGAGTGATACAAAATTATTCTAAGCCCACTATGGTTTATCTGAAGCCCATTTAAAGCCCATTATCTTATGAAAACATTCAGACTCTAGACTCTGAACCAATGACAATGTGTGTGTATATGAGATTGTTACTGATTCCTTTAGATACTGACAAGGCAAAACAAATTGTTTTTTTTTTTCAGTTGATTTTGCTTCGTGACATTCTAGAATGATAGTTGAAATTTCATAATAATATATTCGAATGTCAAAAGATAATATAAACAATACTCGGTTATATCAATTTGTGTTATCAGTTCTACACACAAAATGTTTTTTAAGACCAAAGACGGCCGTACCAAGTAGTGCGTCTTACGTTCTGTATAGATTTTTTTTTATATAGTCGAAAATGTTGAATAGTATTTTTTTGTAAAACTTTTTAATTCATGAATCCTTT